TTGGATTTCTCCACTAATTTAGAGCCACCACTGTTTGAAGTAGGGATGTAGGATTAGTTCTAGCCTGGACCCAGGCTCTAACCCTAACCCTAACCCTAGCCCTAACCCTAACCCTAGCCTGGGCCCTAACCCTAACCCTAACCCTAGCCCTAACCCTAACCTGGGCTCTAACCCTAACCCTAACCCTAACCCTAGCCCTAACCCTAACCCTAACCCTAACCATAGGTCTAACCCTAACCCTAACCATAGGTCTAACCCTAACCCTAACCTTAGGGGGTTAATAAATAAATAAATTAATAAATAAATTAATAAACAAATAAATAAATAACATCATATATTGCATGGTAAATCATCTACAAGGGTGCTAAAGGGTTAAAAGAGCAAATACAAAAAGGGTTATAATTTAGTTAAAAAATAAGGAAATTCATTGTATTTTTCTCTGGGAGAGTATAAAAGGCAGAGCAGAGGAGGAAAATTCATTTTCACTCTGACAGCCACCAAGTAAAGACCTACTGCATTTAAACTACTGTTTGCTTTATGTTGTGTGTGCCTTGGCCTGAGGAAGACCAACACAGGTCGAAACGTAGCATCATAGGCACACAATAGGAAGGCTAAGAATAGTTATCATTGTGAAAAACAAATAAAAACATTCTAAAAAAATTAAAAAACAAAAAAATACAAAAAAATAAAAAAATACAAAAAAATGTAAAAACAGTTATAGTTTATTTTGAGGGTATTTAATCACAGTTTTTGTTAATTAAGAAGTTCAAATAAGAACAAAATCAACATTTTATTTTAAGAAAGGGTTTAAAAACAGTTATTTTATTTTGTATTACAAACAGCATCTCTATAAAAACAATCATAATCTCATTTAAGTAAAATCTTTATAAAAAAAAACAACAAGGAAATCACAATTTTGTTTAAGAAAGAGTTTAATTTCATTTATTTCTGTGGGATAAAATCACAATTTTAATTTAAATATATAAAAATCTTAAAACAAAGTATGATGGCCACTCCACGCAGGAGTGGCTTTGACGGCTGGACGGAGGTCCGCTTTGGCCGTAAAGGCCAGCGCTTCCGCCAGCCATTCCGGGACCGGGGGAACGTGTTCGGTCGAGGGAAGGCCCGTGCATTCCCCGCTCCCTATGGGAGACGGGATTCATTCCCCAAACCTGTCCAGCCAGTGCCTCACTCACATAGGCCGCCACGTGAACCTGGTCCCACTGCTAAACCCTACACCTCAGGGGAGGTGAGGAGACAACCAGCTGACCCAGAATTTGGGCAGCTGGTGAGGAAGATGTTTAGCCTCATTAAAGTAGCGCATCATCTTCGTAATGTTGACCCCAAATCCAGGAAAGTGGAGCCCAAGATTATCACCAGGATGGTAGAGATCTTGTCAACCATGATAAAGCCGGCAGTTCCTACCCCAGAGACTATGGAACTGATTAAGGACAATGCTGAAGCCTGGGGTTACAACACTATTTCCACTTTGGTCAACCACTACGAACTGGGTTTTGATGAAGTCATGTTTGAACTCCAAGAGTTAATGATCCCACAATGGCGAGATGCGTTTGAGGTGGCGGTGCGTTGGGCGAAGAGAAACTTGCCCCGCATCACGGATGAGGCTATAGGCGTAGCATACGCCAGGATTTCAGGATATGTTAAAGATTCGGCCTCAAATGTCGGTGGAGATGAGTCCAAGATCTTTGACATACAACCCCAGCCACCAATCCAACCAGTGAAAATAGTACAGTCCCTTGAGAAGCCGATAGCTCCCAGTCACGAGCTGCAGAAACGACCAACGGCCAAACAGGCCACAGAGGTCAAAAAGGTCAAGCAGGACCGCTCTGCATCGGCATTTGTTCCACGACCTGTAGGGAAAATAGATCAGCCACAACCTATCGCCAAGCAGGCTACAAAGGTCACACAGGTCAAGCAAAACGATGACCACTCTGGAGGGGCAGTTACTCCTAAATTACAGAGGGAACAACGACACATTACACGGGACAGAGATCAAACATTAGGCCAAACAGGGGTCAGAGTCCAGGAGACACACAAGGTCAAGAGTCCAGATCTAGAAGAACCAGACTCAGGGTTTGATGAAGGAGATGTCTTCCTGGACTCATTGGATTTCTCCACTAATTTAGAGCCACCACTGTTTGAAGTAGGGATGTAGGATTAGTTCTAGCCTGGACCCAGGCTCTAACCCTAACCCTAACCCTAGCCCTAACCCTAACCCTAGCCTGGGCCCTAACCCTAACCCTAACCCTAGCCCTAACCCTAACCTGGGCTCTAACCCTAACCCTAACCCTAACCCTAGCCCTAACCCTAACCCTAACCCTAACCATAGGTCTAACCCTAACCCTAACCATAGGTCTAACCCTAACCCTAACCTTAGGGGGTTAATAA